AGAGTTAATTAACAGATGGGCCCCACATGTCAGTGACCCATTAAACTAACTAATTAAGTTCATTTACAAAAATCATTTTAATTAATTTAATTACGCGGTGGGACCCGCATGTTAGTGCCACTGGGCTGCCCAGTCGGCAGTTGACTAAGTCAACCCAGTCAACTGGGGCCCGTGGAGCCCGTTGGCAGCGACCCTGGGGGTGGCCCCAGGTCGGCCACGTCGGATGCCAGTGCCGGAGTTGGCTTCGGCGAGCCAAAACACGGCGGAGGGCGCCGGCGAGCCTCGGGATTTCGCCACGGTGGCCCAAAACGGGTGTGGCTACTCCCGTTCGAAAGCTAACGACATCGCGCGTCGCATGGAGCTACGGGTTGGTCTCGGCGATGACCGGAACCACACCGGCGAGCAGCGGAGGCGGCGACTCGTACGGGTGGATGTCGGAGACGGCGGAGCAGCGTGCTATGGAGCAAAAGAAGAGGCTAGGCAGGCTCTACGTGCGCGGGCGAGCCAAACAGGCACTGGAGCGGGACCATTTGGTCGCCGGAAGCTCGTCGGCGATGAGCTCCCGCGGTGATGGGCTCGGGCACGTACGAGGCGGCGACTACGAGCACGTTGGGGCGAGGAGAAGAGAGCGGAGAGGAAGGAGAGCTCACCGTGGAGCACACAAGGAGGCTCGGTGGCGGTTTAGGAGCCGCGGGGGCGGCGCCGGAGACGAAGAAGATCGACGGCAGCCGGAGATGGGGACGAAGGGGATCCGATGCTACAGCGCCTCCGAGCTCTAGCTGAGGCCACCAGACGAAGGAGTCGACCCGGGCGGAGCTCACCGACAAGGTCAGCGGGCGCGGGGCCACCGGTGGCCGCGACAACGACGGAGGACGGCGGTGATGGCGCTCGGGCGTCGATGGGGAACGAGGGGGAGAGGAAGAGGCGGAGTGGGCGAGGGAAGTGAGCGGGCGACTGCGGGAGAAATATCTCGGGGGCGGCCTCGATGGAGGCCTTATCCTCATCGCCCTCGACGGTGAGGTGGTGCGGCGGGGCGCGGCACTGTCGCGGTGCGGTCGGAGGAGCAGTGAAGGGGGAAGGTGACTCGGTGGGTTGGGTGGCCTGGCTGGGCCGGGTGGGTGCATGGGCCGGCCCATTCGGATGGCTGAGGCTAGCTGGGCCACTTGGCCCAGCAGGGGGGGCTTTCTCTTTGTTTTTTTTTGTTAGTTCAGTTTTTCTCTATCATATTTTCTTTTCTTTTATTTACTTACTTTTTTCTTCTAAATCATTTTAAATTATTTAGGCCTTTTATAAAAATGTGTTTACTACACCATATTTATCTATGTAATGTTTAGTACAACCCGAACATTTTTATTTTAATGTTTGAATATTTTCATTATTTACCAAACTTTGAATTTGAATTTTGGACCGGTTTTGATCTAACAATAGATTAGCAGCAGTAACCGTGGTGACGTGGCACCATTAGCGTGGGATCACTGTAGCTTAATTATCCGGGCGTCACAAGCAAGCTTTGACGACAAGGGGGGCGGCGACGACCCATCGTGGTGCTGCAATCATGGATCTTCCCAGCGGGCGAGATGAATTGCTGCAACCGTTTGTTGGATTTTGCTACATCCATCATGGCGGAGTTGCGACCCGCGGCGGCGACGACGACAAATTGCTACAATCGTCGTTCGCTTTTTGCTACAACCGACGTCTTTTTCTGCTACATCCATAAACGATGTCAACTCTTGGCCATTGCTCACGTAACCCCGTGCAGCAAGCGTTGACGACAAGGGGGGCGGCGACGACCCATCGTGGTGATGCAACCATGGATCTTCCCAGCGAGCTGCCGCCATCGCACCGGAGCTGCCCGCGGGGTGCAGGCAGTTACATGCATGGAGCTGGAGAAACATAGGCGGCAAGGGCAGCGACCAACGGCAAGGGCGGCGACCGGCGGTGAGGGAAGACGAGGAGGCGAGGCGATCGGCGCGTTCGAGGTGGTCCTCTCCCCTTTTTTTCCGTGCGGGGGGTTAAAGATCGAAAGAGGATGAGGTCAGATCTGGCGGTTGTGGACGTTTAGATCGTACGGTGACTGCAGGCAGACCGGCCAAAAAACTGGGCCGGTGCACCGGCTCCTAGCGCTGCCCAAACGATCATCTGTCCAAATTCTTTTCCGGTTAAACTTTTTTCTTTTTACACAGGCTACTAAAATGATTGTTTCTCATAAACACACTACACTCAACTAGTATGGCCAATCGTGTGTAGTAATAATTATCTAAATGAACATCTAGTTCTCCTGCTCTAATTATCTAAAAGTTCGATGAGCTTAAGTAACCATCTGTGAAAAAAATATGTTCTACAAGATATGGAGAGTTGCAATAGAAGTTGAACTAAACCACATTGCAAGCTCCAACCTCCAATGAAATAGGCTTCGGTGCGTAACAGTTGCGCCACAGTAATGCTCTTACTTTGGGTTGGCAAAGAGATTCAAGGGTGTCCTTTCCAAACCAAAATTAAGGTCTGCACATGCCGAAGATATGAAACACATTGGTGGAGCATGGAGCAATGAGAGAG